AGCCTCCTGGTGCTTCGGAGCTCATTAACTGTCTAATAATTGTAAATAAAACCGCCAAAGATTGAGAAAAGATGTACAGGTTCGTAAGTCCTTGCGTAACTGCTTCCTGAATCTGGTCCAAGGACTCGGTATAGTTATGTATATCACACACATTCCGGAGCAGGCAGCGCCAGCGTACAATCCCTATCTTCTGTTATACAACATTAAGTTGGAGAATATCGAGATATAAACAGACTACTCCAGGAGCTGAGTGATATGAATTACGACGAGGAGCTAAATGAACTTAAAAGGTAGGTCACTGGAAACGACAAAACAAGGGAGACAGGGTTAGTACACAGACGGTGTGACACAAGCGGTAACTACGTATCAAGTGAGCCAAACACATCATACAGTAGTAAATATTAAGTCAGAATAGTAAATATATGATGGAATAGGGGCATCTATTTTATTTATTTTTATATATACAAGAAGGTACATTGGGATTGTGAGGATACATAGCATAGTAATTACATTCTTGTAAAGCCACTAGTACGCACAGCGTTTCGGGCAGGTCCTTAATCTAAAAATATTTAAGTAGGTATCCATGTTATACGGCTCCTCTTCACCCACCAGTAATGGGGGAACTGGTTGTGAAGTGACCTACACAACCTTCAGATGCAACCTGTCCTACAAAGAACGTCGCTTTTCGTTTGTATGCCTTACACAAGGCCAAAAATTGTCGTACTAGAAAATGGAAGCGGCTCGCGAAAATGGCTTTCTGTCCCGTTTTCTGTTTTGGGTCCTCTGGGAGATTAGGAGAGGACACTTTAAATTTACCGTTTTCTTGACGCTGGGAAACCTTAGGAGGACGGGCTGGCCAGCGGATAGCGCCCAGGAATCTGCCCGGCAATCGATTGATGGTTTTGAGAAGGGGGGAAGCCAAGAGCTGAAGATCAACCCCCCCCCCACAAGGAAAACAACACACGCATGAGCGAGCTGGCGTTGAGTGGAGGTGGGGAGGGGGTTCGACCTCCCATTATCGCCCCCTTTTACCGTGCTATTAACAGTCTCGACAAGCTTATCATAGCGCAGTAAACAATAACAAGGGTGGTACTGTTAATATATGCATGTTCAGCTACACTTTTTAAATGATTACTTATGATCTGCATACATTTTAATCGATATGTTTAAACCTTTGTGCATTTGCATACGTAAATGACAGGCAACATTTCGATTGTAAAGCAAAACATATGTATATCTATAAGGCTTCAGGGAACTGGTCTAAAAGTATTATTTTGCACATCCCTCCAGCTGAAGCTCCCAAGTCCAATATGGCATCCAGATGACGTCAAGCAAACCCTTACTTGGCTTCACTAAAACGGCGAATGTGGTCCCAATATACAAAAAGGGCGACAGACAAGAGGCACTGAACTACAGGCCAGTGTCCTTGACTTGTATACCATGCAAGGTGATGGAGAAGATCGTGAGAAAAAACCTGGTAACACATCTGGAGAGAAGGGACTTCGTGACAAATCGCCAACATGGATTCAGGGAGGGTAAATCTTGCCTTACAGGCTTGATAGAATTCTACGATCAGGTGACACAGATTAAGCAAGAAAGAGAGGGCTGGGCGGACTGCATTTTCTTGGATTGTCGGAAAGCCTTTGACACAGTACCGCATAAGAGGCTGGTACATAAGCTGGAGAGACAGGCAGGTGTAGCTGGTAAGGTGCTCCAGTGGATAAGGGAGTATCTAAGCAATAGGAAGCAGAGAGTTACGGTGAGGGGTGAGACCTCCGATTGGCGTGAAGTCACCAGTGGAGTCCCACAGGGCTCTGTACTCGGTCCTATCTTGTTTCTGATATATGTAAATGATCTCCCGGAGGGTATCGATTCATTTCTCTCAATGTTTGCGGACGATGCTAAAATTATGAGAAGGATTAAAACAGAAGAGGACTGTTTGAGGCTTCAAGAAGACCTAGACAAGCTGAAGGAATGGTCGAACAAATGGTTGTTAGAGTTTAACCCAACCAAATGTAATGTAATGAAGATAGGTGTAGGGAGCAGGAGGCCAGATACAAGGTATCATCTGGGAGAGGAAATTCTTCAGGAGTCAGAGAAGGAAAAAGACTTGGGGGTTGATATCACGCCAGACCTGTCTCCTGCAGCACATATCAAGCGGATAACATCAGCGGCATATGCCAGGCTGGCCAACATACGAACGGCATTCAGAAACTTGTGTAAAGAATCATTCAGAACTTTGTATACCACATATGTCAGGCCAATCCTGGAGTATGCAGCCCCAGCATGGAGTCCATATCTAGTCAAGGATAAGACTAAACTGGAAAAGGTTCAAAGGTTTGCCACCAGACTAGTACCCGAGCTGAGAGGTATGAGCTACGAGGAGAGACTACGGGAATTAAACCTCACTTCGCTGGAAGACAGAAGAGTTAGGGGGGACATGATCACCACATTCAAGATTCTGAAGGGGATTGATAGGGTAGATAAAGACAGTCTATTTAACACAAGGGGAACACGCACAAGGGGACACAGGTGGAAACTGAGTGCCCAAATGAGCCACAGAGATATTAGAAAGAACTTTTTAGTGTCAGAGTGGTTGACAAATGGAATGCATTAGGGGGTGATGTGGTGGAGGCTGACTCCATACACAGTTTCAAGTGTAGATATGACAGAGCCCGATAGGCTCAGGAATCTGTACACCTGTTGATTGACGGTTGAGAGGCGGGACCAAAGAGCCAGAGCTCAACCCCCGCAAACACAACTAGGTGAGTACAACTAGGTGAGTACACACACACACACACACACACACACACACACACACACACACACACACACACACACACACACACACACACACACTCACTCACTCACTCACTCACTCACTCACTCACTCACACACACACACACACACACACACACACACACCACACACACACACACCACACACACACACACACACACACTCATTCTGCGTGGAAAGGGCTGCGTGAAATACATCTCATGTCGCTGGAAGACAGAAGAGCTCGGAGAGACATGATCACCACATACAAAATTCTCAAGGTAATTGAGAGGGTAGACAAGGATGAATTATTTAACACGGATGGCACACGCACAGGGGGACACAGGTGGAAGCTGAGTACCCAAATGAGCCACAGAGACATTAGAAATAACGTTTTCAGTCTCAGAGTAGTTAGGAAATGGAATGCACTAGGAAGTGATGTGGTGGAGGCTGACTCCATACACAGTTTCAAATGTAGATATGATAGAACTCGAGAAGCTCAGGAATCTGTACACCAGTTGATTGACAGTTGAGAGGCGGGCCGAAAGAGCAAAGCTCAACCCCCGCAAACACAACTAGGTGAGTATTCCTTCACTATGGCTTTGTTTTGACCGTGTGCTGCATGAAGCGCTCTCAACAGTGTGTATACAATATTAAGCACTGATATAGCTCGCCCTTCAGTATGTCGCTTGTTATTGTCGGTGCGCGTGTTGCATTACTTAGTATTAAATGTGCTACAGTTCAACAGCTAAACTAGGCTGTGTTGGGTTATTGGTGTGTCGGATGCACAAGCTGTCCTCACTTGATGCGCGACAATCGGCAACATCGTCGAAACTTGTAGCTTAGTGGTTTTAATTGAGCTGTAATACTGACGGTCCGATTGTCTAATGAGTATGTGGTCCTCGGTATATTAGCTGGATGCTCTAGAGTCGTCCGCTTCATATTAGGCAAAAGCCACTTGCAATTTGACGCTTGTCAAAACGTGAAAACAGTCTGAACTGATGCTTCAGACAGCCCATTAGCCTATTGGTGGCATACACTTATTTAACTTTTACATATATTTTGAAGATGAGTAGCAGAGTTTTTGTTTTGTTTATCTTAATGTCCAACGTTTTGGCTAAGCTAATGTTAAAATCTGGGGTCCTAATGTTAACAGTTTGGTAGCGGTTGTCATTATGACACACAGGATTTGGTAATGGATATTGTCACATCTATCCAGGAGCAAAAATTGTGTAATGACAAGAACAATCTAGCGGGCGATAAATATGTTTAGTACATTTCTGAACGAGACAATTTGGTCGTCTTTAAACACAGGAGATAGGATAATTTGACTGAGGGTGAACAAGTGCTTTGAATAGTATCATCATCCACGATCTGACGTTTGCCATGTTTCTTTAGCTAAAGATAAGAATATCCTAAAATGTCCCAGACAATTATTCTTGAGCTTTAAACAGTTTTCGTTCGTTCTCTGGTGAAGTTTGACTTATTCAAAGTTCCCGTAGCCTAGGACAAATAATTTATTTATGAAATGTTCCGGCAATATTTCTTACACTCGCTGACAGTATGTTGAATGTGTGATGTAAACAAATCATGAATTTATGCAGGTGTTTCATGCCTTTAAAAGGTGATTTCTGTCAGGCCTGAATGTTTAATTCATATAATTTTTAACTGCAGAGATGGGAGTACACTGATAGTTTAATTTTATTTTTTATTTTTTTTTTAATTTTATTTTTATATTTTTTTTTTAATTTTGTCATGTCAGTCACCACCGCGGATAAGGAGCATTCACAGCTCACAATTTCCTGAATTGCCTTCGTGGCGAGAAAGGCAGCAGAATGAAGCGTAGCCCAGTCAAATGGTGTATTTGATCAAACTATCAAGAGAAAACTAGATAGGTTTCTTCAAGAAGTGCCGGACCAACCGGGCTGTGGTGGGTATGTGGGGCCTGCGGGCCTCTCCAAGCAACAGCCTGTTGGACTAAGCTCTCACAAGGGAGTAGAACAACTCCCAGAACCCCATCAAGCAGGTATTGTGCTGGTGTTCCTCGCCTGGACGCTTGAAGCGGTTTTGATCGCCCGTTAAGGAACAAAGGCGTGCGAAGGATCACATTAGGATCAGCGGCGACCTATAGTCCGAGTTGAATGGTGGGTGGTGTGCTGGGAATAGTCCGGCTCCTCCCTCTATTATGTCGCCTATCATCCCCCCCCCCCTCTGCCGTCTGTTAACTGTTTCTTACTCCGCCGTCCGTGACCAGGTTCCTGCCACCGCCGTCCGTGACCAGGTTCCTGCCACCGCCGTCCGTGGCCAGGTTCCTGCCACCGCCGTCCGTGGCCAGGTTCCTGCCACCGCCGTCCGTGGCCAGGTTCCTGCCACCGCCGTCCGTGGCCAGGTTCCTGCCACCGCCGTCCGTGGCCAGGTTCCTGCCACCGCCGTCCGTGGCCAGGTTCCTGCCACCGCCGTCCGTGGCCAGGTTCCTGCCACCGCCGTCCGTGGCCAGGTTCCTCCCGCCGCCGTCCGTGGCCAGGTTCCTGCCACCGCCGTCCGTGGCCAGGTTCCTGCCACCGCCGTCCGTGGCCAGGTTCCTGCCACCGCCGTCCGTGGCCAGGTTCCTGCCACCGCCGTCCGTGGCCAGGTTCCTGCCGCCGCCGTCCGTGGCCAGGTTCCTGCCACCGCCGTCCGTGGCCAGGTTCCTGCCACCGCCGTCCGTGGCCAGGTTCCTGCCACCGCCGTCCGTGGCCAGGTTCCTGCCACCGCCGTCCGTGGCCAGGTTCCTGCCACCGCCGTCCGTGGCCTGGTTCCTCCCACCGCCGTCCGTGGTCAGGTTCCTCTCGCCGTCGTCCGTGGCCAGGTTCCTCCCACCGCCGTCCGTGGTCAGGTTCCTCTCGCCGTCGTCCGTGGCCAGGTTCCTGCCACCGCCGTCCGTGGCCAGGTTCCTGCCACCGCCGTCCGTGGCCAGGTTCCTGCCACCGCCGTCCGTGGCCAGGTTCCTGCCACCGCCGTCCGTGGCCAGGTTCCTGCTAGTGCCGTCCGTGGCCTGGTTCCTCCCACCGCCGTCCGTGGCCAGGTTCCTGCCACCGCCGTCCGTGGCCAGGTTCCTCCCACCGCCGTCCGTGGCCAGGTTCCTGCCACCGCCGTCCGTGGCCAGGTTCCTGCCACCGCCGTCCGTGGCCAGGTTCCTGCCACCGCCGTCCGTGGCCAGGTTCCTGCTAGTGCCGTCCGTGGCCTGGTTCCTCCCACCGCCGTCCGTGGTCAGGTTCCTCTCGCCGTCGTCCGTGGCCAGGTTCCTCCCACCGCCGTCCGTGACCAGGTTCCTCCCACCGCCGTCCGTGGCCAGGTTCCTGCCACCGCCGTCCGTGACCAGGTTCCTCCCACCGCCGTCCGTGGCCAGGTTCCTCCCACCGCCGTCCGTGGCCAGGTTCCTCCCACCGCCGTCCGTGACCAGGTTCCTCCCACCGCCGTCCGTGGCCTCTCCCCTATTACAAGGCACCAAACACACACTATTCCACCTGTGTAACATTAGGTTTAGTTCATTTATTATGCACCCCATACCCATCGTGTGGGCGGTAGTGGAAAGGGTTACAGAGGCACATAATGGGCTCAGGGACTGAACTCCACAATTCATTTAGCTAAGCAAGTTACAATCTTGATGAGCTAGTTACACAATTCAGTATAAGTCGTCACATCAACAATGGGTTCGAGATCGACCACAAGTGCAGTTTCTAAATTAAGCAACTGACATATGTGGAGAGCTAGTGTCACAATTGATATGTTTGTCCTGCACACCGCCCCCCATCCAGTGGGCAGCGGTGGATAGGTTACAATCACTTAGTTACTACCTACTGTACTGTAGCAGTTACAAATGGGACCTTAGCGTCAGCTTGTTGGTGCGTGGTAGGTTGTGTTTAGTTTAGGATGTAATTTGCTTCGAGAAGTGTTTGGTGAACAAATCCACAAGGGCCGTGACGAAGATTCGAACCTGCGTCGTTTATTTTATATTCAAAAGCAAATAACATCAAAGAGGATAGCGCTCAAAGGCGCTAACGTCACGTCTGTCACTGCATTGCTTGGTAAGAATAAAACAATGGGACCAGAAGGCATATTTGCCGAGCTAAGACTGGTAGAGAGCAGAGAGGTTCAAGGCCTCATACATCGAGAGAACCCATGACTGGCTTGGTCTCTGGGGATCACTTGTTTACCCGCCCTGCCAAAATTGACTGTTGTATCCAAAACAACTTTTTGTCCATTTGAAATACTGGAAATGGTATGCCGAGGCGTGGAATAGTAGCTACACGGCCGAACCTGTCTAAAAGCAATTCTAGGCCTAAAATAGACCTTTAGGTCATAATTAGTATATTGCCCTCCATAAAAAATCCAGGATTTGGCTAAGAAAATGTAGCTAAACTAATATTTTGATGATGACCACACCACACACCAGAAGATGGAGAAGCGACGACGTTTCGGACCATTATCACGCTACACGATAATGGTCCAGGGCGGACCGACTCTTCAAAGTTTTTTATAATTTAAAGTACTGCCTTTGTTTTGTTCGCCAGTAATGAATGTTATTGTCTTGGGTACGTAATAAATGAATAAAATCAACCTGGTTGGCAGATTCAGTTGATTCCCAGGTTGGATTCAATTGAATCCCAGTTTGCAATTCTTTTGACCATGTCGAGGTGTAGTTGCCTAAGGCGTTTGCTTAGGCCGTAGAGTATAGGTTCGAATCATCCTTACGGCCCCTACTGATTTTCTCACGTGTCAAATATTGGTTATTTTGCTAATGCGAGGCACCTTGTTCTTAAAACCTTTTAACAGTTTTTGTTGGACCTCTGCAGCAGTAGTAGATAAGGTGGCACTCGTTGTTTATGTTGTTAAGGTCTGTTTGCGTTGGGAGCCATGATGTAGCTGTGGCATCGACTAAATTTGTAATTTCTCTATAGAAGAGAATGAAGTGCAACAGCACACTAATCAATGAATATACAGTAATAATTCACCATTTTCAAAGCACAAGGAAACTTAGACTGAATATTTCGGTCCCGAACCGGTTTCGGACCGAGTCAAAGTTTCCTCGTGTATAGTTACAAAATACGGAGTTATTATTTTCATTTTCTTTTATATAAGATGGTGAGTTCCATTGGTCTATGTAGAGTCGAGCTTAGTACTTTGCGTTAAAATATTTTTAGTGACAGACTGGCTATGTTGAGACTTGTAACTGGCTTCTTCCTTGTGGAGTTAGTGGGTTCGTGACACATCCAGTGTACAGGCCGCTAAAACTGCTGCTTAGATGTTGAATGGTTTGGGGGACTCGAGCTGAATTTTTTTTTTTAATTTTGCCCCGAGGGGCGAGTTTATTGGGCAGCGCCACTCATCTTGTGAGTGGACACACCGCCATAGTGACAGTATTGGGCAGCGCCACTCATCTTGTGAGTGGACACACCGCCATAGTGACAGTATTGGGCAGCGCCACTCATCTTGTGAGTGGACACACCGCCATAGTGACAGTATTGGGCAGCGCCACTCATCTTGTGGGTGGACACACCGCCATAGTGACAGTATTGGGCAGCGCCACTCATCTTGTGAGTGGACACACCGCCATAGTGACAGTATTGGGCAGCGCCACTCATCTTGTGAGTGGACACACCGCCATAGCAGCATGTACAACACTCCCCAATAGGAAGAAAACCCATTTTCGAGCTGAAATGTTGTGTACGGTTGATCCCCATAGTAAGCAGAAGGCAAAGTAAGGGTAAGGGAGGATGGGAAGGGAACGGGAGGACTAAGGGTGGAAGAGGGGGATCAAGGGACGGAAGGGGAGAAGGAAGGTGAGGGCAAAGAGAGCGAGTGACCCTTAGCACGGCGTTTAGGGGTTCACACTTGATCGTGTTTTAGCACTTTAGTAGTAAAGTGGGTTCGTGGTTCAGCTCCTCCAGCTTCCGTGGTTGAGTGCTCAATACCTCACTACACTAGGTGTTGTCTGGCAGATCTCTCTCCCTCTCCACGGAGGATGCTGGGTAACCATTGTATTATAGAAGACTTAACCAAAAAGAAAATTCCTCCATACCGAAACCACCTCGTCAAGGTTGGCAGTACCTTCAGCAGTTGTACTATCTGGCGTAGTCTGATTAACGTGCATCCAGGATACCCCGTAAGTATTCTCCACTTGTATACATAAATACACATAAGAATACATATGCGAGGTTAGGTGGGCAGCCGGCAATCATGGCGCTCCCATCCGGCCGAGCTGCCTCACTTTGGCCAGACTTGTCACTCATGAGGCTTTTATGGCACCATCTTAAGTCAGCGGGTTATTAGGAGTTTATCTTGTAAACAGCTTCTGCTTCATGCTTTGTTTGTTTAGTGGTGGGGGTGTATGTACACTCTCTCACCTTGTCCGTGTGTGGTGGGTGTGTGTGTGTGTACACTCTCACACCTTGTTCGTGTGTGGTGGGTGTGTATGTACACTCACACCTTGTTCGTGTGTGGTGGGTGTGTGTGTGTACACTCTCACACCTTGTTCGTGTGTGGTGGGGGTGTGTGTACACTCACACCTTGTTCGTGTGTGGTGGGGGTGTGTGTACACTCACACCTTGTTCGTGTGTGGTGGGTGTGTGAGTGTACACTCTCACACCTTGTTCGTGTGTGGTGGGGGTGTGTGTACACTCTCACACGCCTTGTCCGTGTGTGGTGGGTGTGTGTGTGTACACTCACACCTTGTTCGTGTGTGGTGGGGGTGTGTGTACACTCACACCTTGTTCGTGTGTGGTGGGTGTGTGTGTGTACACTCTCACACCTTGTTCGTGTGCGGTGGGGGTGTGTGTACACTCACACCTTGTTCGTGTGTGGCGGGTGGGTGTGTGTACACTCTCACACCTTGTTCGTGTGTGGTGGGGGTGTGTGTGTACACTCTCACACCTTGTTCGTGTGTGGTGGGTGTGTGAGTGTACACTCTCACACCTTGTTCGTGTGTGGTGGGTGTGTGAGTGTACACTCTCACACCTTGTTCGTGTGTGGTGGGTGTGTGTGTGTACACTCTCTCACCTTGTTCGTGTGTGGTGGGTGTGTGAGTGTACACTCTCACACCTTGTTCGTGTGTGGGGGGGGTGTGTACACTCTCTCACCTTGTTCGTGTGTGGTGGGTGTGTGAGTGTACACTCTCACACCTTGTTCGTGTGTGGTGGGTGTGTGTGTGTACACTCACACCTTGTTCGTGTGTGGTGGGTGTGTGTGTACACTCTCTCACCTTGTTCGTGTGTGGTGGGTGTGTGTGTACACTCTCTCACCTTGTTCGTGTGTGGTGGGTGTGTGTGTGTACACTCACACCTTGTTCGTGTGTGGTGGGTGTGTGAGTGTACACTCTCTCACCTTGTTCGTGTGTGGTGGGTGTGTGTGTGTACACTCTCACCTTGTTCGTGTGTGGTGGGTGTGTGTGTACACTCACACCTTGTTCGTGTGTGGTGGGTGTGTGTGTGTACACTCACACCTTGTTCGTGTGTGGTGGGTGTGAGTGTACACTCTCACACCTTGTTCGTGTGTGGTGGGGGTGTGTGTACACTCTCACACCTTGTTCGTGTGTGGTGAGTGTGTGTGTACACTCACACCTTGTTCGTGTGTGGTGGGTGTGTATAATGTTTGTCTTCTCGGGCAATGAAAGCTCTCATCATGGAAAAATATGATAGGGATACCTGGTTGATGGGGTTCTGGGAGTTCTTCTACTCCCCAAACCCGGCCCGAGGCCAGGCTTGAATTGTGAGAGTTTGGTCCACCAGGCTGTTGCTTGGAGCGGCCCGCAGGCCCACATACCCACCACAGCCCGGCTGATCCGGAAAATGCAGCTATTGAACAACATTGGTGGTTCTCATCCGGTGGTTCGCGCGGGTTCACCACTGAATAAGTTCTCGCCATCTAGAGAACTTTGCCGAAGCGGACACAACTGAACGCAAGTTCAGTGTGTGGCACGGGGTTGATTGCATTTATTTTTTTTGAGAAGTGAAAAAAGTACCGTAAGTTCAAAACTGTCGGGGACGATTGAGAGTCTACTCGGAGTAGTGCAGTCTCGTACGTAGTCTGTTATTGCCAGACGAGTGAAGGATAAATGTGAACAAATCGTTAGGTATAAAGCTATAGATAAGGATAATGTGAGATGTATGTGTTTTTTTTTTATTTATTATTTTCTACCACAAACATGGCCACACATTTACAATGCTAACCAGCATATATACATTTTCTTCTGTCCTCCATAGACAGGATTAGAGATCAGTTAAACATATAGTTCAGGGATTTATTGAACACTCAACCACAGGTGATTCGGTACTTTTAAAATGCTAAGCTAACCTACATACGTAAATACATAGATACACAGATTTACGTATGCCCTACATAAAGTGGCAGGACAGTGGATAACGTAAGGAATTGGAAATACTACGGAATACCTTCTAACCGTTCATTAGCATTGGACATTGGATCTTATGATGATTGTAGTGGTTATGCGGGCCGCTCCAAGCAACAGCCTGATGGACCAAGTTATCACAAATTGAGCCTGACCCGGCCCCAGGGGTAGGGTGCTGGTTGGAGGGGGGGGGTTATCTTGAGGTTCCGGGACCGCGGGGTCATTGATCCCCGGAACCTCCACAAGGTTACCTTGCCTTGAGGTGCTTCCGGGGCTTAGTGTCCCCGCGGCCCGGTCGTCGACCAGGCCTCCCGGTTGCTGGACTGGTCAACCAGACTGTTGGACGCAGCTGCTCGCAGCCTGACATATGAGTCACAGCCTGGTTGATCAGGTATCCTTTGGAGGTGCTTATCCAGTTCTCTCTTGAACACTGTGAGGGGTCGGCCAGTTATGTTCCTTATGTGTAGTCGAAGCGTGTTGAACAGTCGGGTAGGTAGGGTTACAGTATACGTCGGTGGATCCACGTCCCCGCGGCCCGGTCTCTGACCAGGCCTCCTGGGGCCAGATTCACGAAGCAGTTACGCAAAGCACTTACGAACTTGTACATCTTTTCTCAATCTTTGGCGGCTTTGTTTACAATTATTAAACAGTTAATGTGCTCCGAAGCACCAGGAGGCTGTTTATAACAATAACAACAGTTGATTGGGAAGTTTTCATGCTTGTAAACTGTTTAATAAATGTAACCAAAGCCGTCAAAGATTGAGGAAAGTTGTATACGTTCGTTAGTACATGCGTAACTGCTTCGTGAATATGGCCCGTGGTTGGTCAACCGGACTGTTGGACGCGGTTACTAGCAGCCTGACATATGAATCACAGCCTGGTTGATCAGGTATCCCTTTGAGGTGTTTATCGAGTTCTCTTTTGAAGGGTGTCTCCAACCCGTCCTCTTACAAATTAGTCGCTTTTCGCTCGTATGGGCAACTCAGGCTAAAAAACAACGTAATTTAGAAAGGAATGGGCTCACGAAAGTGACGTACTGTCCCGTTTTCTGTTATGGGTCTTCTGGCTTAGGCTGTTAGGTTACCTTACCGACCTTGAGGTGCTTCCGGGCTTAGTGTCCTCGCGGCTAGGTCGTCGACCAGGCCTCCTGGTTGCTGGACTGGTCAATCAGGCTGTTGGACGCGGCTGCTCGCAGCCTGGCGTACGAATCACAACCTGGTTGATCAGGTACAGGATAGGAGAGGACACTTATAATTAAGTTTTCCTGACGTTTTGAAACCTTAGGACAACTACCTGCCCTCCTAACCTACCAGAGGACCCTTAACTTGCAGTTTTTGAAAACAAAAATCTAATTTTTTCGATTATTTTTTCATGTTCAAATTACGGCCTTTTTTGGCCGTAGCGCATACGAGCGAAAAAGGATGTAAATTTGTAAGAGGACGGGCATTACTGGCCATCCTCGCACAGGATGGCCAATATGTGTAGAGGGAGAGTGTTGAAAATTCTTGGGCCCTCTCAAAATGTACTTTCTGGAAAGGAGACGAGAAAGGTATCAAATAATATTTATACATGGAAGATACTGGAGGGCCAGGTCCCAGGTCTGTGCCAGATGCACAGCGGAATAACAACATACTGGAGCGAAAGGTATGGAAGGAAATGCCGAAAAGAACCAGTGAGGAGCACGATTTTAGGATATAATGCCTGGTGCACTTCAGAGAGCACAATCAGAGATTACTGTCTGAACATCAGAGGTCCAAAGATGTTCAACACCCTCCCAGCAAGCATTAGAAATACTGTATTGCCGGGAACAAAGGTGGACTTAAATGATCATTGGCTCCAGGCGGGCTCGGCGAGTTGAACTCGAGAAACCCTCTTCAGGCATGCTCAGCGTGCCTATTTGACCTATGCTTTTTAAATGCGCTATTTTGCACATCCTGCCATGCCTCCTGGTCTCGTATGGTAGTGCTTGTTAACCTGTGATGTATGTTATATGGTAAATAATGTAAGGAAAGTATGTTTTTGGTTCATTTGTTATTCACCCCATACCCATCTTTTGAGCGGCAGTGAAAAAACTACAGAGGGACATAATTGGTTCAGGAACCGAACCTCCAAAGTTTATTTAGTTGAACAAGTAATAATCTCGTGAAGATCGTTACACAGTTGAATATGTTGATAGTCTTTGATATGACAATTGGTTCAAGGAGCGGCCCGTAACATAATGGATGAGTAATATTTTTGTATGATTTAATATGTTTTAATATATGACATTTCATTATTTGTCTTTTTCCTGTAATAATGACTGATGCTTTTCCCTCCCCATGAAAATGGTAAACAGCTGTAGGCCTAGTGTTAATATAAGGTTATTGGACACCCAAAACAAATATTAATATTACTGTTATTCATATTCGAGTACTTTTGTTGTTTCTTTGCCAAATAGCCCTATACTTGTAGCCTTTGTCAATTTCCTAAAATATACATATCTTTTTTTTTCCACAGGTGAGTGCAGGAGCAAATGGCTCTGACAACTGTTCGCAGGCTGAGAGCTTATCACTTCCCATAGTTCATGGTAAGCCTTACTCTACTTGGTTTTTCCTGGAACACGACCCGCCAATCTATTAACAACCCAATTACTGCTGGGTGAAGAGGTGAACAGTTAAGGATTGATGTGGAAAGGAAAGTGATTCCCGCTTGCTCTACATATGTTAGAATTGTTCCGACATCTGGGGTTCAAAGGGATCTGGACGGAGTCTGGAGGCAGATCTCGTGTTGTCTAACTTCTCTCATAGGCCTAGTCTATATAGATGACTGACGTGGACTTCAAGCGTGACGTCACAACACCCACCTACAACCCGTCCTCATGTAAAATACATCACATTTTGTACATTCTGGTCCCCAACGTTCAAACTAAGTCGATCTCTGAAAAAAGTAGCCGCTCACAATATTTACGTTTTATGTGCGTTGGTAGGCCAAACAACCGTCTTCTGAAAATAACGTCGCTTTTCGCTCGCATGCGCGCTATGGCCAAAAATGGACGTAATTTGAAATGAAATCGGAGCACGAAAGTGACGTATTGTCCCGTTTTCTGTTTTGAGTCCTCCGGCTTACTCGGAAAGATTAGGAGAGGGAACTTTCATTGGCAACCTTGCAAGCACAAGTAGCAGAACTGACTGAAATTATACAGACGCTACGTCAGGCTCCTTCACAACAGATACAGCAGCCTCCATGCAGCTGTGTCACAGCCGTGACCCGCGCTGGTAAAGGTTCCTGTGGTGGTGGTGACGGCGGCGGCGACGGCAGCAGCAGCAGCAGCAACGGCGGCGGCGGCGGCGGCGGCGGCGGCGGCGGCGGCGGCGGCGGCGGCAGCAGCAGCAGCGGCGGCGGCGGCAGCAGCAGCGGCGGCGGCGGCAGCGGCGACAACAGAGATGAGAGCGACAACGGAGGCGGTGGCAGTGACGTCGTCAGTCAACTCAGGGATGACAGCAGTGATAGTGACACAGAAACATTAACTGGAAAAGGAAGTCGACCTGCATCAGCATATTTTAAAATGATTCATGACCTTAAGGAACGCGCTCAAGCCAAATACGAGAATGAAAAAGATAATACTCTGAGTGACAGTAATTATGCCATACAACTTACAGAGAACATTCACTTGCGGACCATCCCGAGTTGCTCAGTGATCAAGAATCTGATGATGTCACCAGATGTTCCTGACGACACCAAACGCCAGGTTGGTGTCGCTCTTTACGTCGTAGAGTCACTTATTGACGCATTGTGTAAGTGGGACAAGGACAACAATGGGACCACCAGTCCCAGGGAGGAACAACACCAAGACGATGGCTGCTGTTGACACAAGAACCATTAGGTTTCTCAGTTGGAACATTCGTAGCATCAACAAAAGACTGAATGACCTAATTGCATATGTTACCAGTAACAACATAGATATAATTGCTTTACAGGAGCCCTATAGATATAATTGCTTTACAGGAGCCCTACACGTCCAACATGATAAACAAAACCCCACCAAAAATCAGAGGGTATGCACCCTATAATAACAGTAACGCCACAGGCCTATTAACTTACGTCAGAAGTGATTTACCGCACATTCTTGTGAGCACGTCACACAATGTACACACACAGTACCATCACTTTCATGTACAAACTACAGCAGGCCACTTTTCATTCCTCAACGTATATGCCAGAAGCCAGAAACTCAATGTAACATTGTTCCCAGATCTAGACAATCATGGGACAATATACATGGGAGATTTTAATGCTAGACATATTACGCTGGGAGACAGTAATAACAACGATAATGGATGCAAATTTATCAAATATGTTTATGACAACAGATTAACCGTGTATACTACGGATACCCAAACTCATTTATTGGGAGGCAGACTTGATTATGTAATGGGTAGAAACCTTGTGCAAGATATGATGGAATGTTCGTTGGTAAATCACTTAATTAGTGATCACTATGCAGTTTCTGCTTCCTATGAGATACAGTGTGATGTACCTAATAGACATCAGAGACGGAAAATGAATATTCCATATGGCTTGCATGACCACTTTATTAATTGTATATCAAAATGGTATCAAGATTACACAATAACGAATGTACAAGCCTTCTCCAGAGATCTCGTTGATACGATTACTACCTACTATGACACATGGGTGTGTTGGGGAACAGGTCGTAAGCCTAGCAGAAGTGGGCAACACCTACCACCACCCAAGTGGGTCCTTGACCCCGTATTTGTTAAAGAACATGAACGAGTAAAGCAACTTGGAGATACGTACAAACGAACCAAAGCACAAGGTGACTTGCATGCATTTCTAGTTGCAAATAGAGAGGTGAGAGACATGAGCAACGTTATACGTAATAAACATTGGGAAGAGTTCCTACAAAGTATAAATGAGCAAACAACACTTGTTGAAGTTTGGGAAAAGATACGAAAAATCTCTAGAAGCAGCCCAACCAAACCACTGCACCACAGCCCACTAGAACAAGCAAACATCCTCCTTGATCAATGGGCACTAACATCGAGCTACGACTCACTCCCAATTAACATACAGCACAAACTTGATGACACACGCCCCAACAGACAACGAACCATCAATCTTGCCTGTACAGCTATCGACGTGTCGGACCTTAATGATGTAACTGAATGGGAATTAAATCATGCACTAAAGATGGGAAAATCAACTGCTCCTGGAGAGGATGGTATTACTTACAGTCTACTGAGATTAGTCTCACACGTACCAGGTAATCCATTATTAGTGTTGTACAGAATGAGTTTACGTGAAGGAGTATTACCTGATGCTTGGACAAAGAGTGTCATTGTTCCCATCCCCAAACCACACTCAGATAATTATAGACCCATATCTCTAACATCGTGTTTGTAAAGTGCTTGAACGTATTGTTCTTAACTGACTCATGTATCGTATACAGGGGCACCTGTCACCCCAACTGTTTGGATTTATGTCTGGGCTCAGTACACAACACTGTTTTGCTGAGTACTTCGCACATATTGAAGCTTCCCCTCAAACGGTCTTCATCGACCTAGCAGCAGCTTTTGATACAGCAAACAGAGAAATCATACTGGAACAGCTTGCCGAGCTGGGAATACAAGGAAAATTACTGAAATGGATAAAGGGCTATTTGTCTAATCGAACAGCATATGTTTTGTTTAATGGTGTTAAAAGCACAGAGAGCAAACACTTTGAACTGGGAACTCCACAAGGAGGGGTCCTCAGTCCCTTGTTGTTCAACGTTCTGATGAATAAACTTATTAAAGATCTTCCAACTAATAATGAAGACACTGTCATTTGTTATGCTGATGATATATGTTTACAGGCTGCCACCGAGCCTAGAATGCAAGTTCTGCTCGACGCTTTTGCTACTAGAGCTGAGGAATGTGGCCTCCTTATCTCTGTACAGAAAACTCGTGCCCTCATTCCATGTGGTATTCCACCAGCCAATTATCATATAGATGAGCGAGCACTTGAGAACTGCGAGTCTTACAGATACCTTGGTGTCCCCATTAACGACCCTGGGTACCTTTCTTCTCTCAAGAGGAGACTTTGGGAGAGATTAAAGCCCTTGCGGGTCCTTGTTGGTGTCAATCATGGACTTAACGTGAGACTTGCTAGAATGTTTTATGTATCATTTATACGCTCTGTGATTGACTACAATGCTCTACATCTCACACTGTATACTGACAAAGAGCTGAAATCTCTTGAAACCTTGCAAAATGAAGCTATGCGTCTCATCCTTGGGGCTCCAAAGTCCACGAGAATAGTTAACATGAGAGCAGAGTTAAAATTACCTACCATAAGTGAGAGAATTTTGTCTATTAGCACAATTTTCGGCGTGAAGGCATTGAGTAGATCTAGACAACACATGAAGTTTTCAAGCTAAACTTTCTAATATGCTGCACTCACCTGAGGTCTATAGAAGAAGAACGAAATCTGATTATGTATATTGGTTCTACAAGGTATCCAACTCCATCAAAATATTAAATATGTACCCAACTCAACTAATGATTAATCAGCCAATTACTCCATGGGATAACTGGGATCTATCAGTTGATTTTGTAAATGCGCCCAAGAAAGATAGTGTGCACACTACATTATTAAAACAGTTAACACTGAAAAGCATCACTGAAAGTACTCGGAGTATGGGTAACGATGTTTATCAGTGCTATACCGACGGCTCTGTAGAAGAAGGTGGACGATGTACCGGATGTGCATGTAACATATTTGAACAATCTTCTCTCGTACATACAGCAATGAAGCGCGTCAATGACTGGGCAAGTACAACTCAAACCGAACTTGCAGGCATATACCTTGCCACTGAATTTTTAAAAGACAAAGGCAGTGGACTTATATATTGTGACTCGCAGAGTGCACTCCTGGCATTGAACGCACATAGTAGTGACACCCAGAAAATAGTCAGTGATATTCGAATGAATGTTTTAGCTGCCAAAGAAAACAGATTTGAGATTAAATTTCTATGGATACCATCACATGTTGCCATCTCAAGGCATGACACTGTTGATATGCTTGCTAAGTCAGCCTGCAGAAAACCAGTGGTAGAAATTGATATGGGTGTTTCATTAGCAGTGACAAAGAGAATACTTAAACAAATATCTAATGAAAATCTCACCGACCTAACAAATTCTCAAAGACCTGAAAGTTGTAGCATTAAATATTATGATAGATATCGTGAGGAGACATTCACATATGGGACTAATAGAACAAGAACCCGGCAATGTGATGTTATAGTGGCCAGAATACGCCTGGGATATAGACGTATCTGGCAGCTTTCTCAAAACCCAAATGTCGAGTACACAATGTGTCAACTTGGTGAAAGAGAAAACATGCACTCTCTTGAACATTATATTGTAGAATGTCCCATACTGACTGACTTTTGCTCTCCTGGGCTAAGGTATGCTGAACTCTGTAGTTACTATATGAGTACTGGAACACTTGATGATATATTGGACTTGTATCCAAGATTGACCATGTAATATATCAATCATACAATGTATATATATATATATGATG